ACACACACACACACACACACACACACACACACACACACACACACACTGTCTGGCTGGAGGCAAATCCCTCTTTGCTGTCTTTGTCTCACACACAACAGACTTCAGTGCCCTAATGTTTTGCTACATTGCCTCAGTGAAAGAACAGATTATACTCGACAATCCCTTCGCCTCCACTCTCTTTCATTTATGACAAGTCTTTCACTGTCAGAGCGAGGGTTCCACTTGCTTTCTGTAATATTTCAGGGAATTATTTCCCTTTTCTCACTTTATCACGGTCCTGCAAAGTGTTTTCGCGTTAACGGTTAAGAAAAGGTTACCATAGGTTTATCTGCAAATTCCAAGGAATGTCTTTTTTTCCAAGAGCCTGAATTTATTTTTGCTTTTTTCAGTGACACAAAATGTTAATAATAAAAAGAGCACTGTAGAGCTGTAAAGTCATTATATAGATGAATCCATCAGCAGATAATTAATTCATCAACAATTATTTAGAGTTTTCTTTTTTCTTTTTTAAGCAAAAGTGACAAACATTTGCAGCTTTTTCAAATGTAAGGATTTGCCTTTAAATGGAAGATTTTTTAGATTTCGGATGTTGGTCAGACTCAATCAATTTAAAGAATTCATTGTAAATATTTCCCTATTTTTCATTGGTTGAGTAAAATTGATAGAATCTTTTTCTTTCTTTTCTGTAAATTGAAATTATTGACATGACCTTGCAGTAATACGACAAGCCTTCTGAGATCTGTTTTTGTTGTTGACCCTCAGTTCATTGTAGAGTTTGACCTGCGCTCGGTGCAGTATGAGGTCAAGTCCCCTCGCTGCCATGAGATGCGTCTTGCGGCTCCACCACACGACTGCATCCGCTTCAACTTCCGCTGTGACCGGGAGGCGGAGGAGTGGGCCACTGTGGTGATGTCATCACTAAGAGAGGCACATAGAGGTGAGTCCGACAGATGCTTTCTTTATTCCTCAACCTGCTGTTGTTTTTGAAGATGTGGTTAAAGCACTACAACTGTTCAAGAGTAAAATAGCACTTAGATTAGACGGATGTGTCCATGTACTATATATACGTTATATACTTTAGTGTCCATATCTACATTTCACCTCTTTCAGGCCAAATATAAAATATGGTAAACCAACAAATGTAATTTGCCTCAAAGGAAAGGAATACAAATAGGAATGGCACTCAGTGAAGCTCAAGACCCAACAGTCCATTTAAATTCAATCAAGCTGCACCAGATGCGACTTATCTCGCAATGTTAAAGCATGTGAAAAAAAATGTCCTGGATCCGCTCCCTGATGTGGATCAACACCAAAATTTTATTGGTTCTTCTAGGACTAATATGACATCCTTCCACCAAGTTTCATAGTGTTCTGTCTTGTATTTTCTATGGAATGTTGGTCACAAGCAGACAAAATGCAGATGATTACTTGGTGGAGATAGTGAAGTAAATACAGGAAGAAATAAATAGAGATGTACGTGAGCAGGAACCATCATGGAAGTAAATGTTGGCTGGACGAATTGTGAAAATAAAGACATCAGATGAATTGGGTGTTAATCTTATTAGTTCCTCACTGTCTGTTAAACATTTATGACACGAGGTTGTGGACAAACACGTTGTTCAGTTGCAGGTGAAAGCTAGTGAGTAAATGAAAGAGTTAAAAAAGTATGTCTGCTGAGTAGAGAAAGTTAATTGCTGCAAAACTATCAAGGTAGATTCTTCAAGCAACTGTGAACTGGGACTAAAGTTTGTAAAAAGAAATGAGAGGTTAAAGTATAATGTTTGTAAATTGCACATGAGCTGAAATTAATGAAATTATTCAATGAATTAAACGTAAGGAAATGTTTGATTGTGAGTCTGTGACCCGAGTACGACTGAGACGTGAAATCTTTTCTGTTTGTTTAAGGTGTTTTTCTAATACGCACTTTGTGTCTTTATCAGAAAATGTAGCCAGAACAAATACTCATATCGTTTGATATTGTTGTCTCTTCTCTCATCTGACAGTTGCAAACATTAACATGTACGACTCAGAGGGAAGACAGAACCATACGGTAGCAACTATGGAGCAGTGGAGCTCTGCCTCACTGCCGCTAACTGGTGAGTGTTGCCGTGTTTCATCCCTCTCTCAACAAAACCGGTCCAAAACTGTCACCTCTGATCGCTGCCTCGTTGTTTGTAGAGGAGCTGTGCTTGGAGCTCACCAGGGCGATCGAAGCAGGCGACACTCAAGCCGCTTCCCAACATGTGTCCGCTCTGGCTCGACAGAAAGCGGTGCTGACGATTCAGCTGTCTGAAAAGAACTACGCTGACGGGGAGATTAGGTGAGTGGTGTTGTGCTACAGATTTAGTCAAAGTAACTATGACTTATGGGTCTTCCTGGTTGTGTAATCGACAACTCACTGTGCTGGATGTGTGTTGCAGTTTGTCTGTGGTCGTGGAGGACGTCTCGTCGTCCTGTTGCGTCACAGTGAAAGTGTTCCCCTACATGACGGTGGCTGCGCTCAAGCAACAGGTAAAAAAAACTGCATTGATAATGAGATTCAAAATATCATATAGTTGCTTTATCAGCTCCAGTGACCTCCTCCACTCTTCTTCTTCAGGTGTTTGTCGAGTACGGTTTCCATCCTCGCGTGCAGCGCTGGGTGATCGGTCAGTGTTTGTGCACTGAGCCGAGGTCGCTAGCGTCGTACGGGGTGCAGAAGGACGGGGACACGGCGTACCTCTACCTGATCTCCGCTCGACAGGCCCGTGTTACCCGCCAGCTGTTCCAGCAGGACCTGGAGAGCGCCCTCCTTGCCCCGCCTCTCCCCCCAGGCAATGGACCCACCTCCCAGGATTGGAGGGCTTATAGCACGCTGCCCTCGAGGCTACCACACAACAACCAGGGTCAGAATGATCTTTTTATACCTTTGACAAACAGCTAAAGCAGCATCATTATGTTTAATCAGTGATCTGTGAGTTTTATTGTTGGCATTTAAGTCTTAAAATATGATATACATGCTTCATTTGGTTCAGTACTTCCTACATCTGACACATTTACATGTTAGATTTATATAAATAAACATAAAACATGAAAATCATTCATCAGATATTGATGTTAACAGACAATTTAGCCTTCTACATACAGTTCCATCTTAAAATGAATGTGAGCACAGAGCCAACACCAGGAAACGTGGCACTCTGTACAAAGGCCGTATGACTAATAGTAAATACTTCATTATTACACAAGAGAAATCACAGAACTTGTCTTATGTTGTTTTTGTCGTCTTTAGGCGGCACAGGCGGAGGAGGCGATAGACCAGGTGATATCAAAGATGTCCTCGATTTGGAGAATCTGCGCCTGAATGATCACAGCAACAAAGCCAGTAAAACACAGGTAACTGTATGACCAGTTTTAAAAACATAAATGATTTTGAAATCTTGTTTCATAACAAACATGAGGTGAATCGTCACAGATATTCTTCTCATTAATCTTAAACACACCCATACTACAAGATAACGCACTGCGGGATGTTAAGATTATTGTTCCAGAGGCAGCGACGCGCCACCTCACGTCTCTCATGTTGCCTCATGGGGAAGCAGATAATCAAAATGTCTGAGAGTGACAACTTGCTCTAATGTTAATGAATAAAAGCAGAGGGCTAAACGAGTCAGGGTGAGGAAATGATCTGAGACGTGGCCAACACAAGTTATTTATTCTTGAGGTAAGATTTCATAATGTCTGTCTAGCTGACGTTTGCCTTTGAATGTTTAGCGTTGCTTGGCAGCTCAGTCAGCTGCTCCAGTCTCCCTTAATAACCCCTCACACTAGCAGATGTCTGGGCCGAACACAGACGCTGTAGATTTCACCTCTGAGGCTCAGGGCTCCTGTTGTCTGATCCCAGCTTTAGACTCTTTTCACTTTTCAACATACATACAAACAAACAAAAGTTTTCTATGAGCTGTAAGACTCATCATAAATAAGAAGAAAAGTAAAATGACCTTACCTCAACTTCTCTCCACAGACAGAGTGGGCCTGTCCCTCATGCACTTTCATCAACAAACTGTCGCGTCCGGGCTGCGAGATCTGTGCCACAGCCCGACCCGACACACACATCCAGCAGGTACGGCACGATATCGCCACCATTCAATGCACTTGTGTTTCTCTGCTACACATTCCCCCTCAGTGACAGTCACCTCTTTTTTCTTTCTCTCACAAAGGAGAAAGGGAGGAGAGAGGACCGGGGGGAGTCTGGTTTGAGCAGCAGCTGACTGCCCATCATCACCCTCCTGTTGCATTGTCTCACTCACACACACATACATGCACACACACGCAGAGTGAGGATGCTGCATCCGCCACATACGTACATGTCAACAAAAATACTCACATGCAGACTGTCGAGTGCACTGAGAGTCGTCCGACAGCGAGATGGCTGCGGACGACGTTTGAGGCGCTGTAGCATGACACAGGCTCAGACCACGGTGGATGCTCAGAGGATGAACTGCAGCATCAAGCTTTGACCATTCATGATGATGATGATCCTGACATACATCTGAAATTGGCCAGAACTCTTTCTTATTTATTTTACAGGGTGGGTGTGTGTGTGTTTGTTTGTTTGTTTTTGTGTGTGTGTGTGTGTGTGCGCGCATGTGTGGTGCAAACAGCAAAGTCTGATTAAATATTTATTTTAGGGAAGAGAGAAGTGACTTCTCGTGTGATTGCATCTGAAGTCGAGAGGACGTCGTACTTTCAGTTTCTGCCGACTGAAGCGAGAGGAAATGTGGAGGTCTGCGGCAACTTCCCACTCTGTTCAGGTGTGTCATCTGTCGGTGCCAAAATGTTAGGAATTTAAAAGAAGAGCGATGAAAAATGAACAGAAGTAATGATGTTGCATTTACAGGGTTGTCAAGTGCTTTTATTTTTTATAACGGTGTATCAAGTGTATTATTTTTAACAAGAGCCGTCGAATAATTGATGTAGATTTTATCATTTTATCTAATTTTACCCGATTCCCTCTGGGCTGTGACAGCAATGGAATGATCTGTTTTCAGTACATAATACTGTAAAAACTTGCATTAGCTGAATAAACATAATGGAACTAAACAAATCTATCTATTGATCTGTTTTTCTACGATTCACTGATCGATTGACAAATTGTTGTACATCAGGTTTTCCCAGGGAATGTCAGATATGGACACTGTTGGCTCCCTCAGCTTTTCTTCTGGTATCACATGCAGGATGATATTTTTGGCTTTTATTGAAATGTCTTCTTCTAGTTAAATGTTCACACGTATTCCAAAATGTCTATCTACTAGATGGATTAGCAAAAATAAACATTGTAGATATTCTTGGTTCCCAGATGATGATGGAGTTAACAGGATTTGGTCATCTCAGTGACTGAGCTCCCGGTATTTATCAACCCACTAAATCACTGAAGTTCAACCTCTTTGCTTTCACACTTTGCTTTGTAGCAGGTTCAAGTCTTAAATTGTATATTGGTACAATCCTTTATGCACTGTTTTCATATTTAGTAATGGTAAAATACTAACGTACTCAAAAAATAGGATTTAAACTTTTCTAAATTGTTTTTGAATTAAATTTTGGTGCATGCATCATTTTCTTCGTTTTGAGGTTTAATGAAAGTCCAGTAAAATAAAGAACAGTATCATGGCTCCAAACATTTCACATTCCAGTCTTTTATTTTAGAATTCATAAATATAAAATAAACACGTTCCAAAGAAATGTATCAAAACAAGTATAAAAATATTAGATATAATGATGTTTGTTCAACAGGCTGTTCATTTACCAATTAGTGTATTCTGTTTCCCCCGTAGAATAAACATGTTGATTATTATATCATTATAATCCAGAAACAAAACACATTAAATGCAACAAAACATCAAAACAGTGCAGTGTTTTTCCTTATGTCACAAGCAAAAGACAGAAACCACATTCTATTTTTTTACAGAAGGCAACCCAGCACTAACTTATCTAAGGATCATCACCTGTTCACTTAATTATTGGCGAGATGTTGAAAAAGAAAAAAATTATTCTGTTTATCAAGAAAGCTTGGTTGTTCTCCAGTGTTTTAATAATTTAATATTTGGAGTTTGTAGGTGAAATATCAACAAATAACAACAAAAGAAAACAGGAGTCACTGCAGTCTTTCCAAGTCAGTGATAGATATTTATCTGCTTTTCAATCTCCAGTAGATTTAACTCCCAATCTTGCAGCTGAAGACAAACCTGAAAACACCTCAGAGGGGTTTCTTATAAAGTCCTACTTCATCAGTCTCTACTTCCAGAAGAGGATGTTCCAGAACAGCAGCCAGCAAGGATAGACCAGCAAGGCTATCAGTGGGTAGACCAGAGAGCCGTACAGGCAGTGGTCCAAGATGCCCTGCGAGATGACTGATAGGTAGAGCAACCAACCTTCCTGGAAGCTGACGGGCACTTCCTGCAGCTCGTGGAAGAAAAAAACAGAGAAGAGGAGCGTGCAGGCTGGGCTGAGGATGACCAAGATGAAGGCCGTCAGAACCCTGAGTGGAGGAGAAGAGGAGAGTTCAGTATTACTTCCATTGGACCAACACGTCTACATCTCACTAAGTATCCCTTTCTTACTTTGGGACGTGGGGTGTGACGAAGGTGGCCACAGGCACCAGGCTGAGAGCCAGGATGAAGCCCAGAGAGAAGTTGATGAGGGCGGTGCAGCCCAGCAGCACGGCCAGGTAAAGCACTGCGACCAGCTTCAGCACCTTCCAGCCCTGCTCCGTCCCCTCGCCCGACAGGAGTCTGGAAAGGAAAAAGTACAACATCTCACTTTCCTGCATCACGGTGATCTTGAGGTTGCTCACGTTTACCCTGAAGTAGCACATGGTCATTTACAGCTCCTAAAATAAGGGATAGGATTTTGAACTTGTGACATGATTTCAAATCTGTGGTTTGTATCACCCTAAATCTCTGTAAATGTGTAAAAATGTGTGGTTAAAAAAATGCATGACATTTGGATGGAATTAAATCAATGATGTTCTACAAATCTCTAAATTTGATTAATTTCTTATATCTTACACTGAGACTGTACTCACATGTTCACAAACACTTTACTATACTTATTGTGTAACAGGATTTCACTCCATCTCACACTGCACAGTTGGCTCACAATTGTATCTCTGAACAAATAATACATTTTTTAAGACCAGGAAAAGAGCATTAAAGCCACACGAAAAGAACAAGAGGAACATGTCAGACGTCTGAGGGGTATTGAGGTGTTTAGTTATTACCTGTTTGTGTTATGAGGCAAAGCCAGCCCCGCTGTGTAAACAGCAATAGCGGTCAGGACCACGGCCTCTGTCTCAGACACCGGGAAGTGTTCGACAGCCATCTCCTGAAAACGGATCGGCAGCATGTACAGAGCTACTCCAGTCAGGTGGCTGATCACCAGAGGAGTCATCACAGACAGCACTCCTGGACTGGACTGGTGGGAGGAAACAGGTTTTATTCTAAGCGGGGATTTATCAGCTCTGGTGAAGTAAATATTTCAATATCTGCTTCTCACCTGCTCAATGTCAATGACGCCATCTTCTGTTCTCGGTGGTGGCGTCACAAGTTGAACCCACAGGTCTAAGGCCTGTAGCTTTGTCAAGGGAAATTGTGACAAGTAAAAAGTCCTACTTTTAACAAGTAATTGTACCTTTTCAAATTGTAATTGTAAAAGGATACACGAAGCAACAGAATGATGGCGAGCAGGCCGAAGGCAGGCATGTAGTAACCAATCGAGACAAAGTGAGAGAGTGACGGCATGAGGTAGAAGAAGTAGGATTGGTGCAGACGCTCCAGAAGGTTATTCAGCTTACGATACATTCCTTCCAGGAGTCTAAGGATGTTTATTATAAAAACAGCAGTTATCAGGTTAGAAAACGTGTAAACCCACGTAAATACGTTAAAGCTAAATACTAGAAAAAGTCCATAAAAGCTCGCTCTGACCTGCCGATGGTGGTGGCGTCAGTCTTGTACTGGCGGAAGCTGTTGATGCCCTTGATGGTGGCAGCCTCAATGTGGTAGCGCAGGAACAAGCCGTGATCCCCCCAAGGTCGCCCACTGGCCTGCTTCATCACCATCAGCATCATGGTCTGGACTGCGTGGCTGTAGCCAGATACACTGTCCCAGTCGTTCCTCTGCAGCTACAGAAACAGATAAGAGCATAATGTGACCTGTCCAACACAGAGGTAATCAACCCGCCCTTCACCCAACACGAGAGAGAAGAGGAAATGTGCCGACCTTGCCCTGGATGGTGCACATGACTCCTATCTTCTGGCAGAAGGCATAGAAGAGGTTGGCTAAGTCCAGGTTGGGTAACTGGCCGTTGAGGCCTTCCAACACCAGATCCAAACTGGTGACGACGTCGCTGCTGAGCTCCAGGGACAGAGCAGCCTGGATTGAACCGCCGCGGCCCTGCAGCGGAGACCAGTCCATTCCTAGAGGATGTCAATCAAGAAATTTACTGTTCTTGTTATCAGCACTAAAGAAAGAAGTTGAATGTTGCCAACTCCGACAGTAAATGAAGAATTGGTGTGGTTTGTGAGAGCAGGTGATCACCTGTAGTGTTGGTGTGGTGGTAGCCCTCCAGCCAGGCCTGCATACCAATCAGATCATGCTCATTCACCAGGAAGATTATGTCCTTGGCCAAGTAAATCTGATCTATTGAAGAGAACAGAAGGAAAACCAAAAAATGACCATTTATATTGTGTGAAGCCAACAACTGATGTCAACCTGAAGTGCTTGCACAAACTGAATGAACTAAAGATAAATAAACAAGTAAATAAAATGCACCAAATGTCCAGTGTATGAATTTACAATGTTGCATTGGTTTGTGGACTATTTGTATGTCTATAACACAGACTGGATATAGACAGTGGGTGCAATACTCACTCCTGAAGTACTGTGCTAAACCAAGCAGCAGTCCCACAGCCTGGTTGTTGTCATCACCCGGGCTGCAGCGAGCGCTCAACACCAGGGCTTCTGTCCGTGGAGCTCGAGGGGCCCGAAGGATCCCATATACATTCGTGCCTTTCACCATCTATAATGAAAGGGAGCCACCAAATGTGCAAGAAACGTATTTAAAGATCAGTCCGTCACTTCACCAAGGTAAAAAAATAGAACAATGTCTTACGTCTCAAACTCACATATCTCTCTGTGTTTTCATCAGGAAAGGGAAGAGTGCGAGAGAAGCTTTGTGCAAACACTTCTAACCCTCTAGCCTGCATCGTCTTCACCAACCAATCAACAGGCATCCCCCTGCAGAGACACAAGTGATCACACTATAGCATGGCATAAAAAATCAGGACTGAGCATTAAACATTTCACAAATTACTTATTTGTAATAACCATGGACACTAGATTATATTCAAGCATTAACATGTTACCCAGTTTTCTTCTTATGAGCAGCAAACTCTCTGCCGGTGGCCAGCGCCCTCTCCCCTGCTGGAAACCGCTCCTCCACCATGGTGGACCCCATGGCGTTCTCTGACATGTACGTCCGCAGAGTGAATGGCTCAAAAGCCAAACCCATGAACCAGGCCACACCCGCCATGTAGCAGACCAAGCTGAGGAAGTGACATGGAAGTGGAAATCATATAAAGGTGTATACACACACAGGTGTACAGTGGCTGGGGTAATAAAATAAAAAATGGATATCATTCTCAGGTTTCATGTCATGTAGTCCGTCGTTTGTGAAAACCTGATCACGGCAGCGCCCCTTTGAAAATGCCGGTCTATTCGTGATCTTACGGTACAGGTCATTGGAGTGGAAAGTTATTTATTATTATTGACAATTGATGTGATTTCCACACAAGATGTTAACGATGAGTAAAATTAGATGGAATATTGTACGTATGTTTCATGAAAATTAAAGGGAAAGTTGGCTACATTTTCATTTTGGCCCTCGTAACTTGCTCATTTTAAATATTATTTTAAGAAAATCCTTGAGTGGTGACAGACATTTCACATGACTCTTGTTCATGGTGACTCTACTGTCTGTATGTCAACTTTCAGATTATTTTACTGTAGAATTTGGGAAACGAACAAGAGTGAGGTTAAATATCTGTT